CGGTGCGCCTGAGACTGTGTCCGTGGAAGGAGCTGAGACGCGGGTCTGCGGAGCACGTCCCTGTCCAATGGCAGGTGACAAGACGTTTGCTCTTTTCCCTGGGTTTGTGCCTCTTCTAACCCGTTCTCGGGGCTGTTGGTTATTTCTTCTCTTTGGGGCCAGCTGCTGGGTCCCTGGCGTGTCAGACCAGGGAGCCAGGGAAGCCAATCAGCTGGAAGCTCACTGCCGGCCGGAGCACCGCCGTCCACTGGGCAAGGGTCAGCCAAGAGTGATCTGGAGCTGTAGTTTAGAGTCTGCCTGGCTGCAGAACTCCTCCCAAACGCTCAGAGCCAGGCCCACCAAATTTGGCAGGCGGCTTCCTCTTCTCCCAGCATGAGAGGGCCTCCTGTGCGGAGGGATGTGATATGGGAGTGGCCACTGGGGGCAGCGGGGCTGAAGCCCCATCTTGCCTGCCAGCACGCAGGTACAGAGCCCCCCCTCCTCCCAGCCCTTGGCTGCAGCACCAGCAGGGGGAGAGGAAAAAGGCCCCTGGCGGCTGGGGAGAGAGAAAAGGCCTGTGCAGGATGGGGCCCCCCCACCCTGAGCTCCTCACCCCCCAGCCTCCTGCCCTGCCCCCACACACATCCCCAAGGCCCTGCCCTGACTCCTGCACCCCCCCCCCCCCAAGCCCCTTGCACTGAAGGACCCGGGCAATGCTGGGACGTCTGCTCGTTCGTTATAAAGCACCAACTGCCTGTAATTAATGACTGTTCATAGCTGGTGGCACCTGAAAGCCTGGGCCAGGCTCCAGCAAGCTGCAAGCGGGGACAAGCAGCAACAGGCGGGGTGGGGCGGGTGTGGAGGGAGAAAGGGGGTGACCTTACAGACAGATGGGGGCCACTTCACGGGCCGGGCCTGGCCTGGGTTAGTCCCCATTTTACTGTCCAAGCCGCGGCTTGTTTCTACTGCTATTTGAACCCCCAGTCTGTATTCCGGGCTGCCCCTTTTCAGCCCGGAATCGAAACGCCGGCACCGGCCCACCGCAGGCTGGGAGAGCTCTCTGGGACTGGGGCTTGTCTTGCCAAGAGCCCCAGCCCCATAGCCAGGGAGCAGGTTATCGAGCTGTGGGCCACCAGCAGGGCCCTCCCCTGCAAAGAGCACATGGGCCTGCCCCAGGGGCACAGCTGATCCCAGGGGAGTAAGGCAAGAGCAGAGTGGGAGGGGGAGCCCAGTACCACACGGACAGCGATCCCACCGCCCCAGGCAGCACGGGCAGGGCAGACACGGCGCCTGCCTTAGCCCATCCCGCAGGAGCGGGGGGGCAGTAGCTACGTGACGCACTCTGCACTACAGCTGCAAACAGCGGGAAGGGAGGGGCCTGCGGAGTGAGAGGACCAAGACCTGGGTCTTTTGCCACCGCTGTTCTTTTGCCTTGACACAAGGTACATTTCTGCAGGGTCGAACGGGTGTATCTCGCCCACAAAACCCCCTCCGCGTTCCCTAACAAGCCGAACACCCACAGCCAGAAAACGTGGTTGAAAAACCTCCCAGCGCCTGGCTCGATGCTTCTGGATCTTTCTGGGGCGCCAGATCACGGGTGGGCCACATGCAACACTTTGTGGCAAGTCCAGGACGAAGGCTCCATTCAGCGAGGGCAATGGTAACAGCAGGTGAGCATCCCTCTCTCGCAAGGCGACCGGGCGTTCCAACGGAATCTGCCGCCTCTGGGGGGAGACAACCGTGGAGCTTAGCAGAGCTAGCTCTGCAGCCCGTGTACGGTTCCCAGCAGGGTGCAGATTCATGACATCCCTGGTTTCCTTGGCATGCAGACCTGCGCCTAATTTCTTCTAAAAGGGCCCGAAGGAAGTCAGCAGATGTTATTATTAAAAGCATTGAGTATCTGCAGCTCCTGAGATATTGTCAGCGCTCTAATTAGCTGATCAAACCGCGGAAAGCAAGGTGTTTCCCAACCGCTTAGTAATGAAAATAAGACCTCCAAGGTTAAAAGGCTTCTTTTAAACTGCACCGAGTTTATAGGTTGCAAAATGTTCTTTAATCAGCACATCCTTGGCAGGCCTGCAGCAGCCAGTCCCGGGAGCTGAGCTATGAGGCCGCATTGCTGGGCCGCGTTAGCAGTTCTCCTTCGGAAGCATTTGCTGCCATTTCTAGCAGCTGCATACTTGGGTTCCCGTCACAAACGGGTTCTCGTTCAAAATGGGCTCTGAGACACACGTCCACACCGAGCCGCCTTAGCTCTGCTCCCAGGCACTTCAACTCTTTCCAACGTTATTTTAACATTGTCAGCCATTCAAAATGCAACCAATTCCAGCCCTTCCCCAGTGCTTTTCCGTTGTCCATTAGTAGCGCTGTGGGCAGATACAGCATCCGTGAAAGGAGCAGTGGCTATCCACACTGACATCTGCGGGTGCAGATACCCAGGGCTCTAAAGCGGATAGCCACAATTTTCAGGGTTCTAGCCATGGGCTGTTGGTGAAGGTAGGGATGGGGGAGGCAAGCCCCCCAGGCCCACCTCTAGCCCCTCCCCTTCTGAGGAGGCCCTGTCCCCTCCCCATCCCCCACGGGGAGGAGAGGGCAGGTGTGCACTTACCCCAGCCTCCCCGCCCTGGCAGGGTGCTGGGAGCAGCAAACACTCCACCCCAGAACACCTATAGCGGGCGGAGTGCGGGCGGGGCCATGGCTGGCAGTTTGGGAAGGCAAACCCTCCCCCACCTAGGCTACCGGACGCCCATGGTTCTAGATACAAAATGTGTAACTGCACGTGCATCTGTAGCTGCTCAGAGGAGCGGCGGATATCTGCATGCACAGCCGCAGGGGTCCGGGGACGGCGGGGGGTTTGCAGGGCTGTATTCATTTGGCACAGTTTCATCCTCAGGTGTTTTCCAAGTCTGGCACAAGCCAAACTAGGCAAAGGTGGGGATCGCCATGGGGCCTTGCCAGTTAGAAAGTGTCCCTGGGTCATTCTTCGTCTTTTCTCCAGCCTCATTAGCAAGGCTGATTCTGAGAGCCTGGAGATTTGCAGGCAGCCTGCCGCTCTTAAAGGGGGTAGGGGGAGAGGGCAGCCATTCTTCCACAGCAGCTAGGAATTTGCTTAGTTCTTGGACAGGAAGGGCTCTTTAGACAGTGGAAGACACCGTCGTTGGGACTGGAGTCAATGGATGACAGGGAAGGTGTGGAGAAGAGGGAGCATGCAGTATCGGTGCAGCTCTGGGGGCAGTGGGGGATTTCTTTAGGTGCTCTGCAGTTAAAAGCCCCAGCCTGGCAAGGCTTGGTTCTTTACACGCAGACTGCGACCAGACGACGTTCCAGGGAACATGCCGGGGGAAGGGTGCAGAGTGCAAGCTGCAGCGTCCAGCACGGCCGGCCTGCTCCTCCCACGGCGCTCAGACAGGAAACCCCAAAGCCCCATCCCGCAGGGCCTGGGGAGAGGAGAGAGGCACTGAGCCACGTGGGCCAGCAGGCTGACCAGAGCCCATGAGAGGGGCTTTGCTGTGGCTGCTCAGTGACACGTCCCCTCCCGCCATGCGTCACTTGGCTGTGTCGTATCTGGGGGTATTGTAGCCCGGCTGTTTATATCCGCTGATGGGTGATGGCTGCTAGAAATATGCCTGTGTGTGCGCCCCTGGGAGACACGGGGGGGAGGGGTAAATTGTCTCTGATTTTACAGACACGAATCATAGAATCATAAGTGTGTCGAGTTTTGAATTTGAGCTCCCGTCAGGGGCTCAGTGACACCAAACTAGTGACTTAATCACTGTTAAACGTTGTAGCACGTTTCCCTTTCCACGAGTGTGTCATCAGAGAATCACGGACACTAGAACTGGCAGGGACCTCACGAGGCATCGAGTCCAGTCACTGGCCCTCACGGCAGGACCCAGCGCTGTCTAGACCATCCCTGCCAGGCGTCCGTCTAACCTGCGCTTAGATCTCTCCAGGGATGGAGATTCCGCAGCCTCCCCGGGCAACTTATTCCAGTGTTTCACCACCTGACAGGCAGGAAGTTTTTCCTGATGTCCAACCTTAATCTCCCTTGCTGCAGTTTAAGCCCCTTGCTTCTTGTCCTATCCTCAGAGGCTTTCTGATGTGCCCTTTGTTGCAATCCTAATCTGCCATTGACCGACTGCCCAGTGACTGAGAGCCAAACACACCCGCCAATATCTGCCGGAGTCCTAAGAAGGGTCACTGCTTTCCTCGGTTTCCCCAGCCTTTGCTCCTTCTGCCTTCACTCAGGTCTGGAAGCAGAAACAGTGACCTGTAGCTGGGGAGGCTCTGGTGAAATCTGACTGCATGGAAAGCCAGGGGCACTGCAACTCCCGATAGCCCTCAGCCCATGCGAGCTGCCTTCCCATGGCTTTCCAGAGATGCTTGTCACTCACTGTGCCACCTTCCAGCAAGCCTCCTCCAGCCAACGGACTCCGGGTGCTCTGCTCCAAGCCAGCCAGCACACCAGGAACAGAAAGCCGGCCTAGGATGGGGAATGTGTGTCGGGGGAGTGGGGTGGGGCTGCTTCTGTGCTTGTGCGTAGACTCTTACCCCTCGAGCTCTGCAGATCTGCTTCAGAGCTGCCGGCCCCGTGTGCCGAGTTCCGTACCGTGCTCCTCGCTGTGGTACCCGAGCACGCTGTTGTCCTGCACCGCATGGCTGGAAACGCTTCCGAACACTTTCCTCTGCCCACCAGCATTGCCTTTGTCTCACCAGAGCTCAGCTTCCGCAGCTGTTTCTCCGCGAGCTGAGCGCTGGGCCCCCTGGGGCCGTGGTGCGGTCCTGTCTGGGGAAAGACACACAGAGCAGAGAGTCAAGGGGGGGCTGCTGTTGTCTGGCTGAGTCATCTGCTGGCCACATGTGGATACCGAATGGGGCTGGCGAGAGAATTGATCCTCCTGGAGCCCAGACTAAGGGGCCTAGTGGTTTCCCATCACTGCTCCCTGGCTGCATCCCTCCGGGAAGGACTCGAGCCAGTTTCACACATCGCCTGGGACCCTGCCTCCCCCAGGCCGTATCCTAGGACCGTCAGTGGTTACGAGTCATTTGGCCCTCGAATGCTAACCCAGGCTGGTCAGTGATGGGCGGGTGTGGCTCGCCTGGGATTCTTACCAGGAATAGCGTTTGCCTGTCGTGGTCGCCGGGTGCCCTTCTCCAGGCGCCAAGATAAGCTTGGAGAAGTCAGGAAACAGCCACACCAAGAGCCAGGCGCGGGGCCTGCCTGTGGAGAAGGACAGAGGGACAAGGCTAAGGCCTGGGCCTGCCGACACCTACCCTCACCAGGGGATTGCCCCGGACTTGTCTGCCAGCCAGCCTTTCCGGGCCCAGCCCGTCACATTCGGCACAGCCCACCCGCAGCAGCACTGGGCGGGCGCTCTGCCAGCTGGGCCTTCTGCCCCTCCCTGTGCTCCCTGCTCTTCCTGCCCGGGGAGGGAAGGGGGCTTTCCCTCAGGCTGGGGAAATGGTCTCCCAGGGCCAGAGGCAAGGCCGAGGCTGGGCGCTGGTAGACAGCCCTGTGCGTGGGCTGCTGGGGGACCAGGACGAGGCCTTTCCAATCCCTCCCATCCGGAAGTCGGTGGCTCCGCCGACGCGCTCACTTGCTCTTTACACTCAGTATGTGCCGCGTCTCTGTCCACCCTAAAACTGCCAAAGTGAAACGGCCCCGTGGCGTCTGTGCCACACACCCAGGCTGACGTGGTCTGTGTAGGGTTACCAGGTAGTCCTAAAAAAAATACCGGACACGCTTCATGGGGGAAGGGGGGCAGGGACCGGCCGGGAGGGGAGCAGTGCTGGCCGGGAGG